TCCCCCCTTTGGCCGGAATTTACTTCCCCCCCCCACCCCACTTCCCGGGGGGCCTTTCAGGGGGACCTTTCCCCAGGGCGCCACCCAAAGCTGGCTAACCTTCCCCCAAGTGCGCTTCAATGCGTCCAGCCCCGTTCTGTAGAATAGACCTGCGGTAGACTCGTCTACCATGCCCTCGTGGTCCCGTCGGAACGGTCAGAGCCAGTTGTTACTGAAGGCATGGTGATGACGACAGCGGTCGTAGTCGCAGCGCCGGCGTCGAGCTTGCACTCCTTTGCCGTCGCAACCGACTCCAGCGCCGAGTCCGGAGGAGCTGCAATCTTTACCTTGGCTTTTGCCTGAGCGTCGGCAAACGCGCGCCACTCCTGTGGCCACAACGATCGATGGTGGGTCGGATGATTGTCGTCGTCCACGACGAGGAGGTCCCCCTCGCAGAAGGCCACCGCGCGATCGTCAGCCATCGCGTGCAGGCAATCCGGCCAGACAGAAGAGCACAGCAGACAATGACAATCCGAATTGGCCAGCGAGTAGGATGACGCCCGAATCAAGTTTCAGCGTTCAACCAGTAACTGCATAGCACGAATTTGGGATGGGACACCTTCGGAACCCGGCTGCGTGCTACTTGGATAGCACGCTTTCGGAGTACCGACGGCTAAGGCCGAGGCAGAAAAGGTTTCTGTTTTTCTCCCGCTTTTCTTCACAGGATTTTCCTGTGAAGAGAGACGTAGAGAAACAGACTTTCAAACTCGGTGTCGAACCACCAGCCCGACGCTCACTACAAGTGACTCGGATTTGCAGGTGAGTAATCTGCGGGGTGGATGTGTGGTGTGTAGTAATCTGCAAGGTGGATTGTGTGGTGCGTAGTAATCTGCAAGGTGGATTGATTGATTGTGTGGTGCGTACGTAGTAATCTGCAAGGTGGATTGTGTCTGTGTAGTGATCTGCAAGGTGGATTGTGTGGTGTGTAGTAATCTGCAAGGTGGATTGTAGCTAGGTCCGACGGGCGCCGCCTTTTTGGGCGGCGTATAATGGTGGCCCTGCTCATCCTGCTGCCGTGGAGCTTGGTGTCACGGCCGGTCCTCGACTCCGCTGCCAGTCGATCGGGCCCGTGCGACTTGCTCGGGGTCAATCGCAGCGCGGACATGAACCGTCCTCCCCATGCTGTGGCACAGGTGAAATTCTGCGTCTTTCAGCGAGAACCAAATGCCCTCACTTCATCCTGCCCAAGGGTCGCGCTACGCGTGGGCTGCTGGTCGGCGGTCACGATCCCACACGATGGTGGCCTCAGCAGCGGCCTCGCGCGGCAACTTCCTGGACCTCCTCGCTGCGATGGAATGATCAGTCTGCACGACTTCAGCGAGGCTTGGGGATTGCTTCCGGTGCAGGGCATTGGGATCACGACCCCCACGGGACTTGGCCGCCGCTCCGTGAGTGCCTCAGGTAGCCTCGAACCGGCAACACTGCGCCGAACCGGCGGACGGCGCGGCCACGTGATCTCGTTGGCTCATGAAGCTGCACAGCGAGAGGTCGTCGTCACCGCCACCCTCACCGCCGCCGCCGAGCCAGCCCCCGTCCTCACCTCCCCCGTCGCCGCCCCCACCATCCCCGCCGCCCTCAACGCCACCGCCGTCGTCACCGCCGCCCTCACCGCCGCCGCCGAGCCAGCCCCCGTCCTCACCTCCGCCGTCGCCGCCCCCACCATCCCCGCCGCCCTCAACGCCACCGCCGTCGTCACCGCCGCCCTCACCGCCGCCGCCGAACCAGCCCCCTTCCTCACCTCCGCCGTCGCCGCCCCCACCATCCCCGCCGCCCTCAACGCCACCGCCGTCGTCACCGCCGCCCTCACCGCCGCCGCCGAGCCAGCCCCCGTCCGCACCTCCGGCTGCCGCCGCTCCCACCATCCCCGCCGCCCTCAACGCCACCGCCGTCGTCACAGCCGCCCTCTCCGCCGCCGCCGAGCCAGCCCCCGTCCTCACCTCCGCCGTCGCCGCCCCCACCATCCCCGCCGCCCCCGACGCCACCGCCGTCGTCACCGCCGCCCTCACCGCCGCCGCCGAGCCAGCCCCCTTCCTCACCTCCGCCGGCGCCGCCTCCACCATCCCCGCCGCCCTCAACGCCACCGCCGTCGTCACCGCCGCCCTCACCGCCGCCGCCGAGTCAGCCCCCGTCCTCACCTCCGCCGTCGCCGCCCCCACCATCCCCGCCGCGGTCGACGCCACCACCGTCATCACCGCCGCCCTCACCGCCGCCGC